CAACCTATATTTTAATCAGCTTGTTGAAAGTTTTTTTGTTGATGTTGAAAATAATGTCTATATCGTTTATTAAATTTTCTTATATTTTTATAGTTAAAATTAATAAACAATTGTCATCTTACATACCTATCGGTAATGTCGCGCTTGTTCTTCATTATTTAAAAGCCCTCTAGTATAAAATTGTTTTTAAAACAAACTTTTGTTTTAGAAATCAAAAAAATATATAAAAAATCAATTAAGGTGTTTTTTGTCATTATATGTGCCTATAAAAAATTTTAAGCATGGGGAAGTAACGTACGATACGTTTACGATATCCATTATAGATTTCGCCACTCTAACCAGAATTGGCCTCTTAACGGGGCACTATTTTAACTTTTAATGTTAATAATTTATTAATAAATTTCAAATAGTCTTAAAAATATGCAAATGACCTCACCAGGGTTGATAAACAGTAATCTTTACTAGCCTTTACTAGTTTGGCTATATGGTGAATAAGCATTTGTTCACTTTATTCGAGTCTAGTATCATGTACTAGCGGTCACACTATTGTAGACTTTCACGTGGATGTACTCTTATACAATGTATTTGTTTGCCCAAATTTTTACAAAGAACCTTTGGGCATTTTATTTTAAAATAGTATCAATCATACCACACACCCTACTAACTGTCCCTCCTTAAAATTTATTTCGTCCTGGATTTCGAAACCGTGCAACAATGAGTTTTTTTTATGGTAGGAAGGTATGGTTTGGCTGCACGGATGGCGTAGTGGTTTAAGCGGTTGCCACGCCGCTTCCTACAACGCCGAGTGTTGTGGGTTCGAACTCATCATGGGACGACACTTTGTGTGATCCACAAATTATTGTTCTGAGTGTGTATGTTCTTTGTGTGAGTGTGTTGTTCATGTATGTTTGTAAAGTCCCCCGCGACACAGGATATATTCCTAATGCGGGAGTTGTCTTTTAGTAAAAATATCATGAATAAAGAACAGACAAAACAGGGCACCTCATGGTAACTGACTACCACTGCCCATGGACTCATTAAAGGTATGATTCCGAACTACGCTGCACGCAGCAGTGCTGCCGCAGCAGTGCTGTCGCGGCACTACTGGTCCCCATACAATCTCTCTAAGCTTATATGAGATTACATTCCGAGCTAGGCAGCAATGTCGCGGCAGCAATGTAGCGGCAGCACTGTTGCGCGTCTGTGTCGCCCTACCGCCGCGACAGACCAGTCAGTGACGCGTCTGCCGCCGCAGCAAGAGTACCTACGTGAATGTTGACAAGTAAATTGACAACAAAAGGATGAATTTCTCTGATTCAGAAGAGAAACATCTAATCATGAGCCCGATGATAGTCTCCAAGACTTTTTAAATTTATAAACTTCATCATCATCATCAACAGCCTTTACTAGTCCACTGCTGGACATAGGCCTCTCCTTAGGAAGGAGTTTTTGGCCTACTATGCCACGCTGGCCAGACGGGTTTTTATAAACTTAACTCACCTTAATGTTAAGAATAATTTTTCTTCAGCGTTGATAACTTCCTTGCGAGAAACTTTTGCTTTAATTTTGCCAGCAATTAAATTATGAATAAAACTGAACTGTTTTTTAATCAGCGTCTTGTAACATCCTTCCCGTTGTCTGCTTTTATAAAACGAATCTGGTGCTTTTCTTTTACTATTGGCATAAAGCAACAACAAATCATCGTCATCTTCTTCCTCTTCCAACAGTATAAATAAAAGTTGGTCATCAATCGACATCTTGTCAACTCAAAGTAAACTAACGAATACACAACAACGCATCACCACGAACAGAGCGACACTGCCGCCTTGCTCGGAATTAGCGCGGCAGGTAGCACTGCTGGGCAGCACCTTAGTGGCAGCACTGCGGCAACAGCACTGCTGCTTGTTGCCGAGTTCGGAATCACACCTTAAGAGTCACAAGTGTGTTGGCGTCCGTTGAGTTCCCACCTCCCCCAGGAAAAAGGGGAAGGGGGGATTACCACTGAAAAATATAATTAATTAATAGGTACGTAGAAATATATCTATCTACTCGTATAAACTACCTAAATAGATACTAAATATAACTATTAAAAGTCATTTATTTAAAGTGCTCTCTAGCGGGCTTCAAGCTTGAACTGCCAACGATGCCAGTGAATCTCGAACCACGACGATTACGACCATAATACCTTTGCACATATTCGCTACCAACTATCGCTTCATGCTTCAAATAATACCATCTGCTTTCTCTTATCTTAGGCTTTCAAATAGACATGCAAGGGTTTATTACTCACAAATTTTAAAACCATGTTTGTAGAAGTGAATACGTCACTAAAATTAATTGTGGGGCTAATTGGCATATTTATTTCTAAAAATAGGTTTTTACAAATATGTCACTGACTTTATCAATAAAAAAAATATGTTTGGATAGTTCTCACAGTTTCCTTTAAAAAACTACTAAAACAGTACAATTACTGCGAATAGATCCATAGATTTATAATTTTTAATATGACGTTCCAAATATCGCATAAATCGCCATTTCAAAATACACGAGCGTGTTAGATTTTATACAGACGGTTCAGCTTGATTTTAATAAATCTGACGGTTAGAAATATTTTTATTTTTTGATTTTTATTCAATTACAAAATGTGACAAAAATAGACACGAAAAATCATGTAAACATTTAAAGAAGATTTCTTGCATTTTTTGTTTAAAAAAAAAAAAATACCGTGCCCAAGAATGTCAAGGTCATGTGTTTTTTTTCTTAATTTTTTGACCAGTCCACTGCCTTATGTTATGTCACGCTCAAGTCCGATTTTTTAAAGACACACTTTTCGGCATGTAATAAACCCATCTTACTCTACTCTTACACGCTCGAGTATTTCCGACCATCGCTTATTTTTTATTAATTTGGGCTGCCCTAGACGCTCGGCTTTATATAACATATATGTAGGACTCATGCATGGTCCACCATATTTGTCCCACTGGGTGTAAGGTATGTTAATCTGCCACCCGTAGAGTAAATCCCGAAATCTTTCTAGGGCTCCCGTCTCGGGTACTAATAGCCGGGGAACCAGGTATAACCTAGAAAGGAAGTCCCTGGTGCCCCGACATACCTCGGGCCATCTACAACAACAGGTAGACGACCCCCCCCCCCGTGTGGGAACCCCATGTTCCCTCTGCTCCCTGGAAGCGAGCGCGCTTCGCAACGCGCTCGCCGCCACCCCGGCCTGCTTCTGCTAGGGTGACAGATGGCCTCACCTGTCACCCCCAGGCCTGCGCTTATGGAGGACGGAGGTCGTTCTGCGACATCCGGCGCCTGAATCGCCTGCGGTACCTGGCCCGTTCCCGGGCCTGGCGTCCTAAACCTCTCCCGGTCCCGCTCCGCCGTCTCCTTCGCGAGCATAACTTGCTCGCAGTAGGAGACGGCAGAGGTCCACGCACTCTCGCTCCGCACGATAGCCGCAATCAGGCTATCGAGCGAGAGAACTCCCACTGCGATGGCCGCCATGCTCTCGCTCTGCTCAACCCACGCCGGGCACTCTGCCAGCGTGTGGTTCTAGGGCTCCCCTACTATATTTTTTAGTAGTGTTGATTCCTCTTTATGACAACGCTCAACCAACTTAGGTAACCCTTTGTCACCGAAGTACTTTTTGAATTGAATTAATTTTCACGACTATAGATAATGGAATACATAAATGGTACTACATAATGCCAAAACTTTTTTCTTAATAAAGATTTGTTGTGTATAAATCCCAATGTTGTATGTACGAGAAATCGTTACTATTGCATAAAGTTGAATTTACCTAAAGGCGTGTCAGGCCCTAGCTTTACTCCTACGAATCGGCGTAGGCGCTAGTTTTACACGAAGTTAACAGTCTTAGTACAAAGAGACTTGTCAGAGGTGTAAGTAACTTTAAGTTTAAAATGTACATGATTTCGGCAAACAATATTGTAACCTAACATGTAATTAGTTCCGTACCTACCAAAGCAAAGCAAGCTTTCTCTAGTCTTTCAATAAAATAAATCTCCATATAAAATTCATAAAAATAAGCAGGCGTTAACCGCATCGATAGATGAATTAATATCTATTGTGTAGCTTTCATTCCTCATTCACTATTCCATACGAGTGCCCTACGCATATGGTGTTGTACGATATTTAATTTCTCTCGTCCTTTGGAAAGTGATGTGGAAAGTGGTGCTAGAATATTTTGGACAATCGTTATAATAGAAAGTTAATTAGTAATTTTGCATACATGTTACGTATGGATAATGTTGGTTTGTACTTTGTTATGGCATATCGTAATTTTTATTTTTGATGCATAACATCTTTCCTCACGCTTTCCAAAAATCTGTATGAGTGTTTACGTAACAAGGGACGAAAGTGTGAACAGGAAACCGGAAGTGTGAACAAATGGGTGTGCGTGATAGTAAAATTGGCCTTCAGATCAATGTAACTTGTTGCAATCTTCTGGTTCTGAATCAAATCTCGAAGAGAAACTATTGCTAGGGGTTGATGATTCCATTTGTATTAAGTTTTCAACTTCGTCGCCTATAAGTTGTCTCTGGCAGAAATATAAAGCAAATTCTCGTATTAAGAGTTCGGTCACAATTCAGTTTCGATCTGCTCTCGATCTCACAACTGTCAAAAATATTTATTTTCGTAGTAAAGTATTAAACATTCAACGTTGACTGACGTGTCGTAACCGAAAATTGAATCAGTAATCTGCAAGTGTTAGTAATACTTTACTATTTTACTACAAAAATACCCTTTATGACAGTTGCGAGATCGAAATTTGATCGAAACTGAATTTTGAGTGAACTTTTATTACGAGAATTGACCTTCAGGTAGCATATCTCAAACACTGTCTAATTCTATTTGTTTTAACCCTGCTTCGGCACGCTAGCGGTAAGGTCATACTAAATTTTAAATTATTGTTTTCATTTCACATGCATTTTAAGCAAATAGAAAAACTAACATTAAAATTAAGGAAAAATTAAAGTTTAATCAATTTTTATTCCCGAACACTCCAATATCTCTTCAACTATAAGTAAAACTTTGTTACCAATCTCCTTTAATTCTCCATCTAATTTCAAATTCTTCTTCAACAATACCATCGTTTTGATCACCAAACTCTGTCTACACAGTTGAATTTTATTTAACTCTGTGCATTGTTTGATCGTGATCTTTAGTAAAGACAGCCAGTTTAGTGTAAATGTAAGGAACTCTTGTGTCAAGTCTTGTGTCAGTTGGAAATGTATGAGTGTATGTGTCCAAGGTTGAGATGTCAATAAAGCGATCAGTTTTGTATCATTTCTAGAAACAATGGCGTGTTTGAATACAGAGCTCAGAGTCTTCCATCCAGCTGAAGACTGATTTTTTGACTCCTGTAAGATTAAAACACTATTAGTCCTTTATACGTTCGGCAGACTCAGAACAACAATTTGTCATAAATAAAAGAAAAGTATGTAGTGATAATACTTGCAATTTTTATTTCTTTCCGTTTTTTTGTTATCAATTTCATGTGAGGTTAGTGTAATGCGTAACATTGTAAAGGGTTGTGGAAAGTTTTGGTAGATTTGACCGATAGGCCGAGGGACCTAGAGTTATAGATATCGTAGGTTTTAGACGAGAAACGACACGAAGACTGCAGTAAGTCGAAGTGGCCGGGGTCACGTACCCGTATGTTCTTTTATTATACATTATTTGTATCTATTTTAAAATAGTTTATAAGTACTGTTACGAGAAATGACAGGAAATATGTGTCCTTATGCTTCCTGGTATACTAAAATATTGATTTAGTTTTTCATGCCTTCAGCATGATACAATAAAACTATTCGCAGACATGCAAGCAAAATATTAGTATTAAAAATTACATTAATTTTTATATGTACTAACCCTGCTACACAACATCAGCTGAACCCTAAACATCAAAGCTCTCAACGCATTACATTGAGTATTCACACTGGGTTCTTCAGATATTTCATAAGTTAATGTAAGCGGTGAACGATTGCCAGTGTTTAACACCATGTACACAAGTTGTAGTAGAGAGGCGCCCCTTTCAGATGCACTGTCTTGTCGCAGGGACTTTATTATTAAATGGGTCTGCACTTGCAGAATTGTTTTCGGCTGAAATGTTTCGAAATGGTTGTACCAAGTGGCTTCTTATAAAGAGGCATGCCACAAGGCTCATTACTGGGACCACCATCTATGTTGAGCAAAATTATTTCATTTTACCTTTAATATATAATTAGGATACCTGATAATTGTTTTGTGTAAAGTAGTGTATTACAGAAGAAAGTAACTGCAATGCTGCACAAGCAACTCTTTCATCGCTGCAGTCAGTCGAAGCCAAAACAGTTTGTAGGAAACCCGTACGATTTGTATATGTTAGTAACACTGAAAATTGGTGAGATTAATTATTTAATGGAAGAAACACTCCTGAAAAATAACAAAGGAGTAAAGGAGTACCAACTTCTATACTAAAACACACTTTTTAAATAATCCAAAAAAATCTCTCACCTCTATTGTCTTTTTGATTATTTGCGAGACTCAGCAGATACAAACCAAGTTTCAGACAAACGTATTTATAATGGTAAATATATTCGTCACAATTATCAGAAATATTCCTTGTAAATATAGCTGTTATTAGTACAGCTGTCTTTAGACAAGCCATTGGATCTATTTCCAGGGGAGGTAAATTGGTGGCTAATTCTAAAAAGTGGCAAATGCTTTTGTCTGAAAAAACGTGTAAAGGTTACTATTACAGCTACAATATTTATTCTCATCCCTCTGTTTCTTATCTCCTAAAAGAACTTAATTTTAACGAAGAAACCCTGCGAAACCATTGTAGAGGCATATTTAATTACAGATTTTTTGTTAATGCTCTTATAATAACAAGTAAAAATATCTACATAAATCTGAAGGAAATGAATTCACATTATAACCTTGCGGCAACACAAAACCAAATGGTTGAGCCTATTGCCGTCTATGTGGTAAATTCTCTGGATCCTTACTTTTATTGAGAATTTTATAACAATTTGTAGTAATTTGAAATGTATCATCATTGTAAAGATTGTAAATAAACATATAACTCCATATTTACGTTACGGAACTAACATTTTTTCCTGAATTTACTTTTTAAGTGAAACTTCTTTAGAATTGTTGTGATTTGAAACTATGAAATGAAAATGCGTCACGAAAAAGAAACAAACACATCAATGTATAGGATTAAATCGGCGAGAGAATGAGATAGAATACATGACACATTATTTTTAATATAATATTTTAACAGTCTGAATATTTTTATCTTTTTATTTAATACTAGCTGATACCCGCGACTTCGTTCGCGTGTTAGGAAAACGCAGCCTTAGTGGGTTCGATTCCCGGTCCGGGCAAACATTTATAAGGTTTTTCTGAGATAAAAAAAAGTATTTTTTTTGAAGTTTCATTTCTGCGTGTGTGAATTGCACACACACACACTTTTAATCTACATCCACATATCCACAATATCTAACCTATTTGAAAGTCTGGATCAATGAGCACTTGAGACAGTACACCAGGTAGCATAGACCATATCAGATCTGAAAATTCTTGTTTCGCATTATCGTCTCCGTCTTCCAAACAATTATGTAAAGCTTCTTTGCAGTTCTCCATAACAGTTCTATCTCTACACCTTATGAGAATATTCAGAAGTAGTTCCCAAACTGCAGGTTGAGTTATCAGGTCTAATGGCAAGGAGTCCTCAGATTTTAACCACTGTGAGAGCTTAAAGAAATAAATTTTATCAAGTATTTTAGTATTTTAGGTAACATAAAAAGTCCAGATATTTGACAGCTTCTTGATATGTCCAACCATTTCGTGAAATGGTCGTATTTCATCATGTAGCCAGTTAAAAGTATCCGTATCGTTAAACAATACGTTGTAAAGCACGTTTATGAAATATCAATTCACGTTTAGATTCAAAATGTAGATTTTAAAGACAGAAAGAAGACGAAATAATTGATTTCCTTCAAGATGCATCACAAAAACAAAAGGATATCAGCCTCTCGAAGTATGGATTATGTAACTATTTTACACAAAACTATCATCACATGTGTCCTTCTTCCAATGTAATTGAGAGTAACTACGCTTTGTCATTTCGTTAAAATAATTCAAGTATGTTAAACGATATATATTTTTTTATTCAATACGTAACTTGGCGCTACAATTTTTAATAATTAAAGAATTGTTCATAAATATTTAAATATTTTTACATATATTTAGAACTAAAGTATCGTATTTAATGTTATTTTAATTTTCAAGCAGATTATCCAAAATTAGTGATACTACGAGTACAAACAAATAAATGGATTGAAGTCTAATATGTAAACGTTAAACTCACAACATGTGTCCTAACACCACTCGAAATTCTTTGGGAAGTAAATGCCCATAGTAATATAGCAGGGTTATGTGTATAATAAACCGTGGGATCAGGGTATAACATCTTTATTAAACGATCTGTTGCCTTCTCAAGGTACACTCTTTCATCTAGAGATTTTAGTGAGCCATTTGATATTGTTGACATCTAGGATAATATAAAACTTTATATTAAACAAACACCGAAATTTGAACTAATTTGAATTAATAACATTAATTAATTTGAAACTTTCAGTTATTGTATGGTGGCTTTCAGTAGTAAACATTTGTTAATTTATTTAAAACTGAGCAAATGCTTAACATTGGTGCTAATTTGTTCAAAAACTCTCTAAACTAAATTAAAAATCACTAAAAATTTGTTAAGTCCTATCAAACAACGTTTCCTATTCTGAAAACGTAATATTTGACAGGACAAAAATTTTTTTAAGCGATTTTTAGTTTAGTTTAGAGAGTTTTTGAACAACAGAATGAGCACCAATAAAATACTAATAAATTTACCGCAAAAACAAGCCACAGCGCTTTTATAATGTAGGACGGCGGTTTGCAGGAATTGGGTAGTTTCAGAATGTGCTCCACTAAGTAGGGAAGGAGAGGTGCTGTCGCTTCTTCAGGACTAAATTAAATTAAAAACGGTTATTTTAGAGTAGTAACTTTTATATAAAATTGTTTAGAAGTCTGAATACAAATGTAAGATAAATTCTTTTTAAAGATAAAATTTTGAAGCTACCCTTGATCATATTTTTGAGTTTCATGGGGCTCAGACAGGATTAGCTTAAAATATTTAAAATTATATTCTGTGTATGCATTGCGCAAAATTATATAGATCGACGTATAATGAGAAGGACGAAGATTTCAGCATATAAAGGAAAAACGATTTTGTTTAAATGAGGCATTGCCAAAACTTTGGATTAGTCTAAAAACATTAGTGATAATGATGATAACATGACAATTAATTAGAAGTTATTAATATGTCTATCTTTACAGGTACAGGTATATTGCTTAGCAAAAGTTTCTTCTTAACCTAAACAATATACAAAAACACTTAAAACAGAAGGGTAACAAATTACTAGGTTGGCGTTAATATCTATTTTGTCAATCAATTTAGCCTATGTGCTATTCTTAATTCCATCCATTTACGGTCAGCCGTTATGGCGTGTAAATACCTAACAACCATCAATATATTCAAACATTCGTATGTATTACACATGTTTAGTATCTTAGCGTGAAATTAAGAACTATTAAATTAAATCAGCTTTTGTTGGTATACTTCTCTGAGGATTGGCAGTAGAAATAAATATATATTAGTAAGCCATATGGTTGGCCTTTCTGTAGCTGAGAGCCGATGCACTGGGGTCTCTCCACGCCGTATTGTAATTCAACTAAGCCCATCTGAAAATTGCCTTTCATTCAACTGGTACTCTCAATAAGCAAAGACTACATACCTATGTTTAATAGTCGATGTTAGAGTAAAATAATTGAATGATCTCACGTGAATATCTTTTGCACGACTATTGATGTCCACATGTACGTCATTCACGTTCAGATATTTGTCAGCCAGCACTTTTAACATCTCACCTAGAACTAGAGTGCTTACTTTGCGGACTGATACATCGTTTCTGAAAGGAATGTGCTCCGCTTATATCAACTCAGTTGTTGACAATCTGAACAGTTAGTTATTGGGTAATTATAACTAAAATAAGCTATTAAATTACACGAATAATTCTGGTGTAACGAACAGTAATTATCGCTGTAATAATGTTCTCAAAGATTTAAGTTTTATTTTTTTTGACTTTGTAAAGCAAGTCTAATTCTGTCTTTAAACCACGTCTCTAGCGATTATGTAATAGGAGTGTAATTTAGTAAATTCGTTTTGATTTTTTATTGCTTTTTCACAGAACACTAGAAACATGTTTTAGCTGAAGAGCTAAGCTTTTTGATCGCAATATCGACGTTTTTGCCACTTATAAATTGATTTACAGTTAATACGTAAAACAGACAAGCTAGAAATCTATTTTATTTAGTTAAGTATTGAGTGTAAAAGAATTAACAAAACGCTCAACATGTTTCTTCCTGCAATAAGACATCATAATTAGGCTTAAAGGTGCCCGTTTAAAAATAAATCTTACCTTTGAATTTGGACCTGAGGGAGCATAGTAAGATAACCTTTTGAGAACATCATATCACAAAAGTCTGGTAAGTTGTCTTTGTTTACATTATCATAAAAGAAATTCAGTAGAAGCTTTAAGAACACGTTATATTCTTCTGTTGAAATTTGGTTTTGATGTTCCTGATAGAAAAATTGCTACAAGTCACAAGATATCAATAAAACTAATCGAATAAACTATCGTCCGACTGAATAGGTCTATTAATGGGTCTATTTATTCCTATGGAGTCTTAAAAGTTCAATGGCAATCATCTGCACGAATGGCGTAGTAGTTTAAGTCGGCGACGGCGGTCACCTCACCGCTTCCTACAGTGCTAAGTGTTGTTGGTTCATGGGCACATGGGACAACGCTTTGTGTGATCTACTTGTTGTTCTGAGTCTGAGTGTTCCTTGTGTCCGTTTCAAGAATATTTGTAAAATCCATCGTGATACATTATATATTCCTAGTGCGGGCGTTTTCTTTATAAAAGTAAAAATAAGAATGGCTAACGGCCTATAGAACTCAAGCGACTCAATTTAAGAGTGCGGTAAACCTTCTGTTCATAGAAGCGCCAGCGAAAAGAGTGTCGTTCTATTTCTTTCTGATGTGACGCTTTTACTCCTTATTTTAGTATTATGTCTTTCGTTTTGTAGAGTATGATAATTTTATAGTTAAATTTTATCAAATGTTTTACTTAAATTTACTACCATAACTAGCAGATATTAATTAGTTTTCATAGTGCTTAGTGTTTTCAAAGTAAATCGTAGTGTGTACAAACAGTTTTGTCACTTCAAGGCACGCCGATCGCTTTATTTACTGCTAACGTGGTTAAACAAATGTTTGGAATGCATAATGTTTTTGAGTTACCCTCAATATATTTGTCTAAGAAATTGTTTTGTTGTTATTTTGTTTCAATTCATTTTTTCTGTATCACAGCTAAATCAATGAAACTGTAATTTGTTTTTCTCATGTAAGTGAATAGTTAATGTTATTCTTTGTGAGAAATAAATGATCCTAAACCTAAAAGTCATGATATCTTCTCAATTTCCCAAACTTCTCATTAAATGAATAGTTTAAGTTCTTATGGGACAATGATATACACTTACGAAAACCGAGGACATTCTATTTTATTTAACGGGATAAATAGACAGGAAAAAAGAATAATAGCTATAAATCAGATGCTAACAGGTGGCAGTTGCCTAAGTTGAAACTCGTGGCACCATCTCTTATTGAAAAATGGGGCTATTTATAATGTTTTAAATTATTGTGTTTATTACAATTAATTTAAATAAATCTGTGTTTATTACGAGCAAGAATTGGTACATTAATTTAATCTCAAACCTCGACTCGTATAAATCTTAATAAAATACCTTAGTAAAAATCACTAGTTCACAGACGACAAGACGCAGAGCCTCTTCCATTTCCGCCGCGCATTGTTTAAGCGCATTTATCTCGTGGTCATCGTTTAAAATCGTCTGTATGAAATTCATACTTTGATTACTTCGACGTAGTATTTTTATTATTCTGAAATTATAATTCAATCAGCCTTTACAGGATCAGCTGTTAGGTTCACTGACATAGGGAATGTTAAGAGAGTACTGGTCCTAACAACTGGCACAAGTCAACTGCACTGCACTGGCATAAGTCAACCACACTTGTTATTGACACTCTCAACAAAAAGCCTGGTTGACTTATTCCCCAGTGCAGTAGACTATAACAGTTCACTATCTTTGCCTTATATAAATCAAAATATATATATCGTCAAAACGAATTTAATTTAGTTAAAACTTCACCGCTACCTGTGGCAGACAATTCTGAGATTTCAAATGCAAAGAAGAGGGGTCACTTGATGGTAAGGGCATATCGTCGTCCATGGACACCTGCAAGTTTTTTGCCGCCCTTTGAATTTGCTGAGGAGTGTGTCAACGACTTTCCAACCATATGAAGAAAGCGACGTGCGTCCTTTTTAAATCGCGCTAGGGGCAGTGCTAACAGCATCCTGGCGGCGTTATAAACTGGTGGGATTCCCCCCATTTAAAAGGTGGATGGAGCTCCAGAAAGTAAAAAATAATAATGTATTTAATTTTTTTTTTTATTTTTTTTTATTTATTATTATATTCACATAAAAAAAATACACAATATATGTGAAGTCCCTGACTGCTGAGCTAGGCTCTTGGCCTGTGTTACATAAGTCAGTGTCTTCTCCCATTATGAGGAACACAGAAATCTTATGCAAAAATAAGTGCAGTGAGATGAGTAAATGTGATGAAAGTGCGTAGTGTGGAGTGTGCCGTGCGTTTGTGGTGTGTATGGTATTTAAGTGTATGGATGTATATGTAAGTATGTATATGGAGTGAGAGATGTATATGGTCAGTTTTTAGTCTTTATGATAATAATATTTCAGTTTGGTCATAGTCTATACCAAGCAACCAATTCTTTAATTTAATTTTAGCTTCGCGATTAGATAAGGGATGAATGTTCGTTAATTTATTTATTCTATTATATAAGAAGATAGACATGTAGGCATGTTGCCGTCTGGCAGAGGCTGTACGACAGGTGACGGATAAGCAAACATTTGTCATTGTACGCTTTCTATTATAATCCGCAGTATGGTAAGGAGTTTTCTTGTGTTGCTTTGAAAGTAATTGCAGTATATACAGTTGTCTTACTGTTAGTACTTCACAAGTTGCAAACAGAGATTTTGTTGGAAATCTGAACGGACTGAAAGTCATGACTTTCAATATTGATCTTTGTGCTCTTTCCAACCGCATCATAAATGTCTTACAAGCGCCACCCCAGACCACAATACAGTAAGAAAGAACTGACTGAACCAGAGAGAGCGTAGTAGACAGTGCGTAATAATAAAAATTCACATGCATGCCTCAATTGCTTGAATATCCATATAAGCTTTCTGGTACGAGCTGTTAACAGGTCTATATGGGGACGCCAACTTAATCTTTCATCCACCAAAACACCAAGATATTTCACATCCGTAGATTTAATTATGTACCTTACTAACAATAGTTTTTAAGTGAAATATGTTTACTAACAACTCAGGGGTTGTTCCGAAATAAACTTATTATTATTATTATCTTTACTCATTTTATATACATATTAATTATATTTTTAAACATACACTTTATAAAAAAAATACATATTTATAAATATAAAAAGTAGTAGACCACCGACATCGGGTACAGGGACCAAGACACCAGTGGTTAGGACTGTAACGATAGGAGCCTCCTCACTATACGGGCTGTGTCAAGGAGGACTGCCTTCTGCATCAAATCCTTGTTCCAGCCATCCAACGTGAGCCTCTTAAGGTGTTTGTCGAGGCTCTTAGCTATCAATCCGTGAGCAGATTCGACTATCGGAACAATGATCACTGAATTGACATTCCACATATAGACAGTCTCATGAGATAAATCCAAATATTGTATCTGTTTTTCTCTTTCAACTTTAACTAGATTCTCGCCATGAGGAACGGCGATATCAACAATGATTGCGAGGCGCTGTAATCGATCTATTTCTACAATATCAGACTTATTGGCACCAATAGTCCTGTCTGTGATAATAGATCGATCCCAATACAACGTGGCCCGACCATTCTCGAGAACTGGGTCGAGCACATAAGTGTAGTATGGCACCTCTAGATTTACAATTCGGTATTTAAGGGCAAGCTGTTGGTGTACAATCCTGGCTACTTGGTTGTGCCTGTGCAAATATTCACTAGACGAGAACAAACAGAAATAATATGCCTGATTGATTCCCCAGGACGGTAGCATGCCCGACAGATTTTGCCCTTTCAGGAAATATTTCCGACAGTTATTCGTCATGATAACTTCGTCCATAATTGCACAAACAAAACCTTCAGTTTCGCCAAAGAGATCACCATACCGTAGCCAAGTCGTAGATGCTTTTAAGTCTATATCAGACCTCTTTAGGGCCCGACCATGGAGCTCTTTGCCCTTCCATACTTCCCTGCAATCATTAGTACTAAGTACTATAGGTTTGCGCCAATTCTATTTAGCCAGAGCGAGTGGAGTGAATCCGGTATCCACTGCAATGCGATGCACTCTCACATCAGTATGTAAAAAAATATTCTCTGAATTGTATATCTTGATATTCTTGATATTTAATAGTCCGCAACCCCCCACACATTATTATTATTAAATCCCTCCAGAATCAGGCATAAGAGTTCCGATAATCACTCGCACTGACATGACCAATTACGAAACATGAAAAGCAAATAATATCTATGCTTACCCTGACACATCCATTCCGATTTGACAAACTAATACATAAAACATGCCAGATATCCCACCATCCCCCACTAACATATTATGGTTCAAAGCACCCATGAGCAGACTAAACCATTTCTTCAACACCTCCAGTATACCATTAGCTGTATTATTATTAATAGTTAAATTATCTGGCTGGTAGGATATTAGAGCATGAAGTACTAAAGCGCTCGCTAAAATAGTATTGGGATTGTTGGAAATGTTGCCAGATAGGGCGTTTAAGCAAGCTAGAAGCTGTACAGCACTGTATGCACTTTGATGCGATAAAGGTGCGGTAGTCTTGTGTGCTGAAACGCTGAAACAAAATATTAAATAATGTTTTACACACACACGCACAGAATTAATACATATCAAAATAGATACTTCAACAAGCTATTTCAAAAAGTACGTCGTTATTAATAAATAAAGCTCTTTTTTCTACTGTCAATTTGTCCATCCAAAGGTTACCTATATATAAGAGATTGCTTTTCGCAATAAGGCTGCAATATAAATTTATCTCGTTGTAATTATTGCACAATAAAGCATATTCTACCTATCTACTTAAAGTTTAATCATCATCAACAGCCTTTACCAACCCGTCTGACCGGCGTTGCATAATAGGCCAAACCCTCCTTTCTACGGAGAGGCCTATGTCCAGCAGTGGACTATTAAGGATCAATATTAAACTTTTATTCTCCAAACAGCTGCTGCAGCCTAGTCAATGAGCGTTGGTAATTTACAATGATTTATGGTATATTTTACAGTATGCATGCTTACATTAATCTATTTATAGTATGGGCAAAAAATCATGATTAGTAGCAACATGATTTCTTAAGGTTTACGTTTGCTATTAAAGCTGTCGAATTTCTATAAAAATATTTAATAAGACACTGTTCACGCCAATAACTGTCGGCAAATGTCTTAGAGAGCGACGATGAGCATTGTAAAAGTAGACTGTAAAAAATCATACTAGAATTAGAATTATACTCAATTGAGAAACCTGTTTAAAAAATCTTGGAAGAAGGTTCTAGTTCTTCTTCTCAAGGCTATGCTATCTTACCCGCTTAGCAGATCGCAAAGGAAATGCAAACACGCATCCACGGGTTGTCTTGAACCACTGCCGGCATAGTGCGCAAGGGTCCTTAGCACAGCGGTCATTGCGTGCGCTGCGTGCTCATCGGCGAAGAACTGACGCGAGCGCCATAATAAACGTAGACTGGTTAGAATTGACCTTTAATATAAAAAAAAACCTAATATCACACGTGTTTTCTTCTAAAATGTATTTTATGACTTTAATGCACCTCCAATATGATGAACTGTAACAAACTGTATTTTCTATTTCTTGATTTTGTACACTTATTAAAAACATAGTTTAATTAAAAACATTTAATTTAACCATTAAAATCATTTTTAACCGACTTCAAAAAAGGAGGAGGTTCTATGTTCCACTGTATGTATTTTTTTTTAATTCATTAAAAACCATAGTTATTTTTATAAAGTAGGTAAAAAATACTCTAGTTTTAATAGGAGGATAAAGGTGATCGGTTTTCAGTGTGAATCTGTCAAATAAACATAGTTTACTCTTTTATATAATACAATAAAGAAGGCATTATTTGCCGCTACTATTTAGATAGTATAGTTGTCAGTTTGGTTTGATAAATTGTTCAATTTCCTACATTTGTTTAAACAAAGTAGTAATTCTTAAACACTAGTTTGACAGGTCAATTTCCATATTCAAAAGTGTCTCAAAAGATTTGCAATAAGATAATGCAAATAAAATTATTTATCATTTATGAGAAATCATTATTCATTCATTCATTCCCTTTACTACCATTAGGTACCTTAAATCCCTTATCGCCCTTCCATTTAATATCCTACTAATTATCTCATCTGATTTCTAAAGTTTGATGACACTTTAGGCTTGCTTCCTCTATGTAAGTGGGACTAAAACTGTCGGCGTCACACGCGTCTGTCTGCTTATTCGGAGAAATACATGTGAGTGCGTGTATGCAGCTAGATACATTATTAGTATAAGTATTTAATATTTTACAAACCTGAATAGCGTGAAGTCTAAGTTTGAAGTAGCTTCACACAAAAATACCGTGATATCATTGTCTAATAAGTATTCAATCATCGTTATCCTTTCATTCGGATTTTTAGTGTATCGGCTGACGACTTCTATAATATAGCCACAAGCTTTATTCTGCGCAGTTGTATCGCGGGACGTAAGTAGCTTCTTTATATCTGAAAGAGCATTTTGTCTTCCAGTAGGGTTGTAGGTTCTATTGAAATTGGCATTTACTAAACTGTACATTTTTAAACAAATAAAAATAAAAAGGACTACTAAAATTTGAAAAGCCCGCCGGTATTCTTAAGCTATGTTCCAATTTTAATTTTTAAAGGTAGCAACTTTTTTTTTAAATATACCACATTGGTTCTTCACAGAATGGAAAATCGATTGCTTTCACTATGCACATAGTTATTATTTTAATGTTATTATTATTCTTAACTTGATAACATTATATTCCTCTAAATCCTCACAAGTTTGTGACAAATTGACCCAACTTGAATAGTAACATTTAGAAATAATTATGCAGCTGGTAACATAATTCTAAATGTCATAATCATTTGGTTGTCATTTGAGCCAATTCGAGGCCTTCCGTGCATGATCTGTATTCGAGGTGATCGTTTGTAATTTTATTTTTAATTATTTTGGATTTATTATCCGGTTACCAAATTGTTGTTTATTTAGTAACAAATTTCAACCATTATCGTTATTAGGTTTACAATGGTGAGTGCATAAGTGCTTGTAAACCTGTGATTGCATCCAAGACCATGCCGAGCCATGTAGCTTTCAATAATGCTTTTCTTATTATTTGTTCCACAGTCGGTGATCGAATTCCTGAAAGACCTCCCGTCCTATGACGAGCACAATTTTACGCTATTTAATACAGACCATGGAATCAGAAATTGTTCTAAAAGGCCATCAATATATTTACCAACTAAGGAGATACCGTCTGAACAAAGTTTAGTATACGAGTCTTATTCTATTCTTACTTTAAAGACCGATTTTGAGTTATTATTACGTTAATTAGACTTACTTTTAAAAAACATGATTGTTGTACATATACTTGACAAAAAAACTATTGTTTTTTCGTATTTTGAGAGAAGTCCACCAAGCTATACAACTGTTACGTACAGATTTCTTTTTATTTGACTATTTGTGACACAAAAGATATTAATAACATATGTTACATCATAAAATATTTTACTACACCACCCTTAAAAACTGGATGAGTTTAAAAGAAACCTATTAGAGTAAATATAATATTTTTTTAAAAACCTACCTAAATTTATCATAATATAGTCATACACAAACAAGCACACAAGAACCTCAATACCTAATTAACTGTTAATTTTAAAAATCTGTTTGTTTTCCAGTTATTGTAACAGAGAAAACAAATATACTATTAAGATATTTACATCAACAATGGGAGAAGAAGGTAAATATTGATGGTTATTCTACATATAGTCCCCCGTGACACAGGATATTTTCCTAATGCGGAGTAGTCTTATAAAAAAAAGAAACATTACATGATAACAAATTTGTATACTGCTATGCTTAAGTGTGACTTTAAAACATACATGACACGGACAAAGAACACCCAGACTCAGAACAACAATTTGTAAATCACACAAAGTGTCGTCCCATGTGGGGATTGGACCCACAGCACTTAGCGTAGTAGTGAGTGGGGTGGCGTCCACTTAAACCACTACACCATCCGTGCAGGCAATATAATAATATGTCTACAAGCTGTACTGTGCCACAATAAAGTGTGGCAGAGTACAGGTTGTAGACATTCACATTCCTTATTCCTCATCAATGACACTACTGTATCGTTACATTGATAAGGAATGTGGAACAAAACTAATGCAAAAAAAAAGAAATTTGCGTTAGTTAGGTTCCGCAGTCATTTTTCGAAATATCGATATACATAATATTTTTATTATTGTGTACTTCAATAACTTAACCTTTTCTTATAAATTTATTAAATAACAGTTACAGTCATGTTCTTTCTACCTTTATCCCGACTCTAGTGATTGTTAACTGTGAACTTATAATGTAAAGCCTAGCCTCTCTGTCACCCCACCTCTATTTTGCTTTACACTAATAATGCCGAGATAATGTCTATTTGCTCACTTCTATTGAATAGTTATTCATAGTTATCTGGTTAACTTGTATTTTTGATCAAATGAATATGAATTTTTAATGTGGTAACAAAAAAGTAGTAAAAGATTGTTACTCTATAATTAAATAACTAATTCAGAATCAGTACTCAGTAGTTTCAGTCTGAGTTTTCGGGGTAAAACAGGTTTATGATTTTCATTCTTCAAATTAAATGATATAAATTAATTCTTCACAAATTAGTCTTAGCCAGAATCTATTTACTGTTGCTTAACCGCAATTATATGCTTCCATATAATATTTGTGTGATGAGCATGATCATTTGTTCTGTGTCTGGGTGTAATTAATTTATAACATGTAGATTTAAAAATAAGTAAGTTTATCAGCAGTCTGGTTACCATAGTACAGGGTCTGCCTACTTTAAGATTAGACAGCCGTGTGTGAGATGTGTGAGGTTATTATTATTATATACTAGAGTAGAACTAGCTAGTTTTATGACATGCAATCTACATCAATCGTGTTTTTAACCTCCGTCTCAGCAATAATTTCTTATTATATACTATAGAGAAAAAACTTGTATATCTTGGATAAGTTATCTTGTACTGTAATTAAACAGTAAAAGCACTTAATATATAATTGATGACAGGATCAAGTAAAGGCTCATCTTACTTAAGAATAGTGTCCAAAATTGAAATCATGGATAGGTTTCTGTTTATGTGCTGTTACAGAATAAAATTATAAGTGATAGTAAACTATTGTCAAGCTTCTGTCAGTTCAATTCTGCCTGTAAGTTAATAAAACTACAACTTTCCTAAACAATTTCAACTTATAATGTGTATAATTATTTTCAGAATAACAATTCACCTAAAAAACGCGATCAGAGTCACATTGAACAAAATGGCGATGACAGCAGATCTCGCAAAAGGCAATGTCTCAATTCACCTCTCAACTGAACATCAGCCAATGTACCAGCAGTTAGTTGTGGTTCAGTTATAGACTTTATAAGAGTGTACGGCGTTTATTGTAGGGACTTTTGTATTCCATATTTTTATGTCAAATTATACATTAATAAATTGGAATCGCGGGTCATGTTTTTTGGGAAAATCATCATTGAATTGCAGTCAAGTGCCATTACAATCAAACCTGTCATTTGTATATGGCCAATAGTAAAATAATTATGTTCATTCCATGTCTTAATATTAAGTTTTGTATGCAATAAAAGTTTAATAACTTTTGTACCAAGAAATACCGATCAGCTATATAAGTTAACAATAGAATAAATTGTGTTCAGTAAGTTAAGTGCTTGGAAAAACAGATTTTCCATTGCAGTATTTGATGGTATCTTTAAATAATAATTTTTATCATAATATGTCACCGATTTTTCACTAGTTCAAGTCAAGAGAAACGAAAAAGTGACGTAAGCAATCATTTGTGTTTAATCATTAAAAACATATACATATAAATGGACCATTGTATAAATGATACCACATTATATGTATATAGTGTTATTTTAGTAAAATAATTTAGAAGCGTAACTAATTTCAATATAATCTCAATCTGTTTTCGACTGAAAATCCATTAATATAAGTGGAATATGAACATTAACAACATATCAACAATGTCATTAAGCTATTAGATTGTTTTGATTTTTTTGTAGCCCTATATCTGCTTTTCACTTATGTGAACTTTATTGTCACAGAAATATACGGATAATACCTTATGGATATATCTGTTTCTTAATACGTATTTGTATAAGTATTTATCACAAAGCATTAAGAAACATTATGTCGTAATCAGTGCTGTCATTGGTAAATTTTATATCATTTTGGAATTTAAATGGTAACTGTTTAGTAGAGGCGTCTGCAAGTACTTGTCTTATTTATTGCAATGTTAAGTATATTGTTTTTTGTAAAACTTTTATCAAAACTCCAGCTACTAAGCAGCAGTCCTTGTTTATAATTATTATTAATTATTATCTATTCCAAAATTGCATCATACAGTATTCATACATTGTTTTATTTTTGAAGGAGCATACCTCGCAGTTACTATTGTACAGTGTGAAATAATCATAAATTTATGTATCAATAATGATATTTATGTAAACCATACCTGATTTTTAATGTACCTATAAAACCATCATATTGTATTTTTCCATTTTCATGAATGCTTACTTTCTAAAGTATGTTTTATTTACTATTAATTCAATAAATTACAGACAAAAAAGTGATTTGAAAATTCTAAATACAAGTTATATAGGATGCTTGAAATTTATATATTTTTATTACCTTTGTAATAAGAGTGTTTTACTTTGAATATTACTGTAATATGTTGGTCATTCAATACCCTGATGTGTCTAGTTGCTGCATGTTATTATCGTCAGTGTCGTCAGTGCTGCTTAAAGCTTAAGCTCCATTTTCATCAGGGGACATTTGTCCTGTGACCTCGTTCCCTAATAAATTAGTGCCCCACAATGTTACACGTGATGTCACCCGACATCACCTACGACATTTTGGGTTACGGGATATGTAAAAAATTGACTTTAGTGTCCCTCGATAGTTGCCCAGCAGCTTTTGATTAATGAGGTTGGTTGCGGGTTACTTTGTGTTACGTGAGACTCCTCAGGCGACATCTCCAAGGTGACAAGGCAAATATGGAGCGACAAGGTTCCAAAAAGTAGCAGAACCAGACTAAGTAAAAGACGTGCAACATGTCTCCTAGTGAATAAATGGCTTTATTCTTATATTTGTGGATCAGGCATAACTTCATGTTACAGTTTTATACAAAGAAAAATGCATTTCACTCAAAATGCGTCAATAGTTTGCTTTTAAAATACTATAAACATATACTTGTAGGTATTTGAGAATTGTTTTATTGTAATTTTCTTTGAGGCTGGCTTATTGATCGATAACGGATATCCACTGATTACCCGGTCTTTTATTGCCATTTTGTCTATTCAAATAAAAACATTAAAATATAGTGGTTGTTTTTAATATTCTTTATTTTAATATAATTATTTACAATCGGTAATTATTGTAGTGTGAATCTTTCAAGTGATAAGTTTTTAACCACCAAAAAGGCCTATATAGTTTTTATTGCGTGTATAACGATTCTGATTTATATACTTACGTCTACCTTAAAACTTGCGATGGTGCACGGAGCGAATGCCCGCTCCGGAAGTCGGACAAGGCCTTGCACCGGTTTTGTTTTTAAGATTTTTGAATAATTGTCTATACATCAAGACAGGTTTTTTGATGGATATTCCTATCTTTGTACAATTCGGTTTTCATAATATCTCCTTTCCCCTGAGTCTTGGGGAGGGACTGTAAGGGCGGCAATGCACTGGTGACTTAAGTTGCAGGTGTCCATGGTGGTAGTCGCTGGTGTCTGGTCGCTTGCCCCCAAACCCCATTAAAAAGATCGCACTGGAGGAAGCCAGAGACGATGCCTACTAGTACTAGTTAGGTGCGAAGTTAACCGAACGACGCACAACACTTTACGAACACTGAGCTTCGGCGCGGCCGAAACTTTCGGCCAATTTTGGCTGAAACCGAAACTCGATTTTTTGGCCGAAACCGAAACTTCGGTCGGTGACTAGTTGTAGGAGCCGACTAAGGGCGTAAACTGCGAAGGACAACAGCACTGCAAAGGGGAGGAAAACTTGACACAAACCATATTCCTACCCGTCTTCTCCTGTACATACCGAATACAACAGACACTAATTTCAAAGAAGAATGATAGATGTAACAAGGGTATATATACTAATATCTTGAATCAAAAATTAATTGTAGCACACAATAAAATTATTCACGTTCGACACACTAACAATACCGCGGTGGCAGCAAGTCGTCACTCCGGCGCCGCAGCACAATACCCCTCTTTGCTGGTCCCGCCATCCCGGCAAGCGCGGTGCGACGCCGCGCCGGTGCCCATCGTGTCGTGTGACATGGTATAGTTATTTGGACTTCTGACCCATCGCGCTACCAAATTACTGTAATTAGGATGACGTAGCGACATTGCTTCAGCGCCGACAACGTATCGTGTGACTGAAGCGTTATCTTATCCGGGTTGCTAGTAATGGGCATTAATGCTAATTAGATTTAATTTACTTTTTTTCTGCGAATTCCATCTTAGCAAGGTAATTGCTAATGCTAATATTATTTGCTAATATTGCAATTTTGTACGAGTATTAATTTTACATAAATAACTTATTTTTATTATAATTTAACTCAATGCGATTTTCGAGATCCAAAGTGACTGCTGTTGTTTTTCTCTAATATTATTACAGAAATAATGCAATATAGAATTTGTTCGCGATATGCTAGCCTTCGTCAATGCGGCACTTAACACTATTTACAGAAAATATCCCTATCTATTCACAAAATACCTATTTACAACGTACACGTCACACTCTTCAAAACTTAAGTTACCTATACCTACTCTATAATTAAACTTCTTATTAACAAATACTATATACATAGTAGTGATGGAATAATTAATCTTCACACTCATATTTGATTGTAAATTCTTAATTAACATTTAGCAGTTAGCAAATTAAATGCAGTCGTGAAATTTCGTGAACGTATGAATTAATACGTATACGAAATTTCATTGCTTCTCATCGCTCTAAAATCTTAGCGAACACGTACAGCTTCGAGATGGGTCTATAGTTTTAGATCATATTTTTAGGTCTCTTTTTATGTATCGGTGTTATATACACCGACTTTCAGATTGTGGGCATCACTCTGGTATCAAGAGATCGCCTATATAGAATAGAGAGAGGGATGACGAGGCTATCGGCACAACCCTTAATCAATACAGGCGAGATGTCGTCCGGCGTAACCGACTTATTAGTATCCACATGTTTTAATAAGTTATAAAGTTCATCTTTGCTGACTTCGATGTATGTAATACATATACATGAGGCGACCTGTTCAATGTTCTGCTCACTGTTCAGCGGAAAGCTGTCGTGAGGGCTTGTTGAGAAATTGGAATGGAAATATTCGTTGAATATGTCGCATATCTCCTCACCATCGCTAGTGCAGGACAGAGTGATATTTAGAAATGTTCTGAATGACTTTGTTTTCTCGTAGTGTTTTGTTAAATTGTTTAAAGTTGTTCATAAAATTGGTACCTTACCTTTATATTATTATGGTATTTGTTAATAAGAAGTTTAATTACAGAGTAGGTATAGATAATTTAAGTTTTAAAGAGTGCGACGTGTACATATTAATTCATACTTCACGAAATTACAAGACTACAATTAACACGTTGAACGCCACACAAAAAGCAGTTTGTTTCATTGGAGCCATGGGGGACACCGGTGGGCCAAACCATGTTAAGCTGTTGGAGCCACGGGGGTCACCGGTGACCCAAAGGAGGACTTCAATTCAAACCTGTTTTACAGGCCACCAAGCAAAGATATCATACAAAAATGTTGTAGAGTGAGCCGCGTGGCCCTATAGAACAATCTAGTCAGCTTGGTTTTCGTGTGTTGCAAAAGACTTAGAATATATTTACGATTTTCATTACTTTTTTGGGGTTATTCTAAACTTCATACACAATAAACTGGTAAAAGGGGTTTTTATAGAAAAAAATAATTGAATCTGAACGTAATATTTTTATTATTGATATTGTATAAACAGTTTTTAAAAGTTTAACACTTATTTTGTTATAGGGCTCAAAAAAAAACACCAAGAACTTACATTTTAATAGGTATGACACAAGTTTCTTAAGTCTTATCTTTCTCTCTCTCTTAAACAAAGGTTAAATTATTTATTTGTGGCAAAATAAAAAGTACTTACATACAAAAAAACAAACTGCACTAAAATTCGAATAAATCTCTAAAATAGATCTAACAAAATCAGTCTGCTAAATGGCGCCAGTATGTGACACAACATTATAGTCATTCTATTACGGTGTAGTAGCGGAAGACCAGGCATTTCAGTGTAAGGTA